GGGCCAAGCTCAGAACCCCAACCACAATGATTTTTATTTCTTCACGGTTGCCACAATCTGTATGTCTAATCATCTAGGCTGGTTTGCCGTTTCAGGACTCAGTTCCTGCCGGATCACTATAATGATCCATTCTTGTCTAGTGTGATTCCTATGGTGACTCCGACAAGGTGCCATAGGGCCAATTGAGGCAACCCCTTTGTGGGTGACTGTCGACAGACTTGACTTCCGAATTCACACATTTTAATTTGGTAATTCGATTAAGGAAAGCGAAACAGCTGGCCTTACCGTTTTCCAGCCTTTTAGGGTTGTCCCGCTGGTCCGTTGGTCCCAGGGTTCCTCGCCGAAATGCCTGTCTATCAGAGTGAAGCCGTTCGGAACAATCAGAAATTTCGTTTTTATTGCAGCTTTTACTTTCTCAGTGACAGATTAAGCATGACATGACATGAACGACAGGCAGGCACACGTCTTTCAGGTGTGGTCTTTTTTTCTTTTTGATGGTTGCCTGGTGAGGTCAAACATGTTGTGCACCTAATTCGATGGAACTTGAACAGCTGTTATATGCCCTTGTGGCTGACTTGAACACGGGCCCGGAGGGGCATAACGCACGACTCCTAGGTATTTAGGAACTGAGTTCCGATGTTTAATTAATTGTTTTGGTTTTCTTGTTTGTCATCAACTAGTCCCCCATTTGGTCCCTAATCCTCCCCGCGTGCCTCTCCGTAATGTGTCGTGGGGTTTAGGTGTGTGCACTGTTTTGGTCAGGTCCGTTTCGCCGTGTAGGTTGGTTTTGGAGGTCCGTCTGTTCCCCTCCCCCCCCTGCGCTGTTTTGGCCTTCTGCCAGTCGTCTGTGTTCGCTTTTTTCTTCCTCTTGCCTTTCAGGGTTGACCCGGCTCCGGCCGGGTGTGTGTGTGTGTGTAACATCTGAATAGATGTAAAACTTCTCTCTTTTTCTTCCTTCTGTCCTCTCCCTTTCTAATCATAATACTAATGCAGGGGGGCAGTGAATCTCATTCCATCCACTGCCCAACGAAGACGGTGGTTTGAGATTGTGATATCGGGACTGATCATCCCGACGTACCTGCAATTTTCCGAAATAGCAAGGGGTCAAGCTCAGAACCCCAACCACAATGATTTTTATTTCTTCACGGTTGCCACAATCTGTGTGTCTAATCATCTAGGCTGGTTTGCACGTTTCAGGACTCAGTTCCTGCCGGATCACTATAATGATCCATTCTTGTCTAGTGTGTGTGTGTGTCAACTCCTGTGCTCTAAGGACTTCGTAAGCGCCAATTTCCTTCGTTTCCGTTATTCCGGCTGGCGTTTTCCAACTACCATCCAGCATGCTATTAGAACAGACAATAGGATTTGCACGACGGCAATTAGCAAAGAAGACGGCGAAAGTATCAAAGAGAATGATGCTCTCAGAGACACATGTTTTGCCCATGACGGTTTGCATTTCAGGATCGCGCATTTCCAAGAAATGGGATCAGTTTTCAATAATACATGCGTATTCAGCATGTATACATGTAATGTAGATCATGAGAGGAAGAGGATGAGCGCGGAGAAGCGTACGATTTTGTGCATTGTGTTTCCCGTGGAGAAGTCCGAAAGATGACGACTTCAGAGATACTTCCGGAGTTCCCACGCAGCGCTTTTAGCTAGGATCTTTTCAATTTTCGAGCATGCAGGGGGTGCCAGGGATCATTGCAAGTCTGGCACTAACCAAGACGCTTGCTTTGATCTGTGACATCAGAAAGGGACGCCTTTCTGACGTACCTGCTCATTTGAAACTGGCAATCAAGCTGTTGCAGTCAGGCTGTTGAGGTAGATCAGGTCAGCTGCACTTGTTCGTGTCCCTGACCGCGAAGGCGACTTAGCAATACAGGTCAGCACATGCAGTGTGTATTTCCGGGTGTTGGACCTTACTTGGTCTCACCGCAATCTTTTTCATGAAGTGCAGCAACGTTTTTTCAAGGAAGTAAGTATCAAGCAGAAGAACAAGCAAACAGAGGAACTGCTGAAGCCTGTCATTTTTACAGCTCAATTTGCGACCCTGATCCTTCATTTGAAGGTGACTGGGATACCAGTGTGTACCGGTCAGAGTTCTGACAAAGAGCTGGCCGTGACCTGGGGCGCCAGGCGATTCCACCGCCGTAGTAGCGGTTATCGGAGATTCCACAGTATGCGGGCCTGTTTTTACAGGGATTCCACAGAACGGGTCTGCCCCACCGTTTTTCCCGTAGCACTGTTCTTCTTTACGCAACAAGAAAGACCCAAAGCTTGGAACAGCACCGGGCCTGATCAGATCTATTCAGGGATTCCACGGAAAGGGTTCGTCCCCCGTTTTTCCCGTTGCAAGGTTCCTTGGTTCTTCGGAGAGGGTAGTTGCTCATTGTCACCAGTGATTCCACGTCTACAACGGCGTTCTTGCCTGGTGTGTACATAAACTGAAAACACAAAAAAGAAGCTTGAAGGACAATTGTTGCAAAAGTTACAAAGGGCAACTTTCTGATAACACCGCAGCCGCTGCAATAGTACAGCTCTAGACTCTTTTCGCATATCATTATTAAACATGTGATTGTTTCCAAATCGACAGGTGTACATTTTGTTTGGCGTCAAATGCGTTTTTCTTTTCTGCGCATTCGCGCGCTACTTGTTTCTACTACAAGAAATCTTGCTCAGTGATCCACTTGAGTTGATTGTCAGCATGTTCGTCCCAAAATGTGACTGAGTTGCTTGACTTTGATTGTGCCATTTCCCGTTTTCCGCAAATAATTTCTTGATCAACTGACAGTGTTCCGTTGCAGCATGTTTTGTATATGACAGGTTTCAAATTGCATTCGTAGCACATGATATCGAAAGAATGACTGCGAACTAAATATTCAGAGATTTCTGTTTGTATTGCATGTGTTCATGCTCCTTTGATGTTCTGATTCTGAACCTTGCATTTTCGAATTCGACATGTCATCTCCGCAAAAACGGTGCTGGAGCAGCTCTACAGAGTGGATGCAACATACATTGACATCGACAGGACAACAACAGAGCGGTGATGTCGGAATATATTGACAGGGATATGCAGCCTTCACGAGCCTTGCAAGCTGTACCTATTCCTCTTGGGCACCCTGCCAACGCTCTATGTGTCTCCGGACATCGTATTAAGACGCGTAACGTCTTACTCACAATCGTTATCGGTTTCCTTTACGCAGATCCAGATCCAGTGTGTCCAGACAGGTGGGTGATGATCTTACAAGCCCAGGCAAGAATGGCAAAAATCTGCCACCTCTTCCAAGATCTGGAACCCAGAGACATTTTCCTCATTCCAGCGGATCTTGTGCAAGGCCGGGCTCTACACATCGAGCGCGGTCTAGGTTGGTTCTCAAACGGCGGCCACATAGATCTCAGGATCGAAGGTTACCTAGACGCACTAGGCATCATCGTGACTCTATAAGTCTTTTGCCAGAGATAGAGGTACTAGTAATCGACGTGGACACTCCAGCTATGCTGAAGAGTTTTCTGGTTCTGTTTCAGGCTCATTTACCAGCATGGGCCATGGTTCCTCAGCAGAAGGGTCGCGAAGCTGTGAAGCATTCATGGCCCCTGTCACCCCCCCCCAGGAAATTTCACTTAGATACCAAAATTGTACATTGAGGGAGCAGTTGCGAAAGCCACACCCCCTGGACCTTTAGTTACGTTAAATCGGACCACTTGCAATGTGCCTGAAAAGGATGGAGAGTTGCTTCCAGCAAAAGATGATTTGTTTCACAAAAACCTTGCGGCGATGGCAACCCAAGTTTGTCCGCCTGGTCACAAAATACAGCTTCGGACTCAGATGACAGTTCCGGATTATGATTGGGTCAAAGAAAAGCTTTCTCGCTCAATAGGGACAGAGCTCAGTGGATTCAACCCATGTACCAGTTAGCATGTCGACTCCGACATTCACATCCGTTTGTACAAGAAGTGAAGCTACGACTGGAGCAGAAGTGTCCTTCAAATCAGGATTAGGTGGTTGCATCTGCGTTGTACACACTGACAAAAGCCATTGTTGCTGCCTCTTTTCCTCTTGCGTGTATTCTAAAATTTTTTCCACATGAAACTGAAGGGCGTCGAATTTGGAAGATTCCTTTGACAGGAAAGCCAAGATATTTTCAGACTCATGACACAAACAAGAATGCATATGTATGGTGTCATGCTACCTCCCCTGCTTGTTTGATTGGTGTACTGAAACTGGGCATTGTTGCCCCTACTTGTAGGGACCAGATATGGATGGACAGATCATGGAGTGGATTTTTCGGAACTGCCACGTACAACCTGACGGAGGAAAACATTTTACGCATCATTCTGCGATGACCTCAGGCAGGGAAGAATATAGCTCGGGGTTCGATATTTCAGGAAGAGTCGTGGCATCCCATTGCAGGGTCGCAAGTGGAGGCGTGGTCGGAACAACAGGAGGTTGAAGAATGCCGACTGATACACCGCCCTCGAGACCGTCGCTGGCGTATTCACTTCAACCATACAGTTATTGATCATAATTGGTTTATTGAACTTTGCTC